TTTCATGCAATCTTTATTTCTCTTCCGCTTCTTCAATATTTATATTATTGCACCGATAACTTGTCACGATGGGAAGCGGATCAAGGTTAACCTAACCTCAATCAATGAATCATCGGAACGATCTCCGTTTCCGGCCACGTAAAGGAAATACGAGTTTTTTTACGCAACAAGGAGGAAGTATCCTCGTCGATTCTGTAACTTATAAAAGCGTGTGGGATCGATCCGATTTTTAATCACAATCACATTAAGTATGTTCGATCCATCCTTTCGAATATTCTTTCTACTCTGCTCGCTCGTGATCGCGATCTCAGGATCGCCACAATCGTGGAGGTGGGAAGGACAGCACATCAGAAATCACAGGCATGCTTCCTGTCCCTCGTGTCGTCGAGAACGGCCAGACACCCTTGTTTCGTGGTAAGAGACTCGAATTACTTGTGGATCCATATCTCGGATACGCAAATCTTAATACTTTTTACAAAATTCTTTTAACAACGAACAAACCATTTGATGATCATTTTCTCTTAATGAGAAGAGCTCTTGCAAAGAGTATCCAAATTTTCCACGATATTTATAAAGATCCACGTATAAATTGTCCAAAAGTTCGTTAGTAAACCAGGTTAACGAAACTCTCTTCCAAAATTTCTCTTATAATACGAATATTCCGCTATATATACGCATATATACACGTACTATACCGTTTCATAACTCTCCTCGAAATAGTTTTCAAAATTCGAAAAAGTAAAAATTAATTTCTCTCTATCGAAGGGACGAGCCAACTAGAAGAGGATACCGTGGACTGGAGCCAGAAACCAATTCTTGGCAGATCGGTCAACCGTACCGCCTATCCCCCTACGCCAATCCGTACGAAAGAGGCGTTAGAGGCAGAGGGAGTTCACCTTTCGCACGATCAGCAGCCACCTGCAAACGCGAGAATCCCTTCACCATCGGGACGGATTTCGATTTTGACCTGGCTCCTCCGCAAACCGCCTCTATCCGCGGCGTGAACAGCCTCACGGACGCCACGAGCTGGTATCGAACCTTGCCTGGACCCTCGGAGCCCAGATTCTCTAGGAGCCAAGCAAGGGCAACGTATCAAGCTAGGAGACCTAATTTCTACGACGTGATCAGAGCCCAACCCGACCCGTCCAATAAACTGTATCCGGACTACGGCTCGTCCAACGATGAATTCAATTATCAAAGTTCTTCGAACAACTTCAAAAGACCTTACCAGGGATCTTTCAAGAGAACGATGCACCGGGATGACAAGTATTTCGACGACACGTTCATCCAGAGTAATCCTATGAGCGAGACACCTGGCCAATATAACAGAGGATGGAACAACGAGGTTTCGTATGGGAGAGATCAAGCGAGAAATCAAGGATTGGAACGGTATTCTCAATCTGGAAGGAATCAGTATGGAAATTTCAGGATGACCCACCACTCCTCCTCGCCAAGAGTCAAATACAATTCGCATAACCTGCCAACGGATCTCAATGCGTTGAGAATGGTGCAGAGTGTGGGAAGAGGGGGTATGGAGGTTGTTAATAGTAGCAGGTAGGAATTAGGTTATATTATATTGCATGCATTAAGAGTGAGACAGTTCTTGGTGAAATGAATTTTCCAATCCAATGAATATGATATATTTAATATTTTAGAAATATTTTTTTGGAGATATATTTTGTCATTCTATAGATCATATCTTAATTCTTGTATTTATAATAATAATTCCTTAGATTAAAAAAGGAATGTATACAGAAGTGTAACAAGGATATCTCTATCACTCTGTCTTCTAATATAAATTGTTTATAAGTTAATGAATAAATCTAAATCTATACGTTTAATTTGATCTCTAGATTTGATCTTTGTTTTTATTCAATATAGAATTAAACTATATTTTACTTTTCCTACTTTACATGGAGAATTCTCTAAAAATGACTTACATGTTAAAAATCTTTTTACTATTTAAATTTTCAAATTAGCCAAGTACTGGCTTGATTAAAAATTAAAAATTCAATTAAAAATTTAAAGAGGCTTGTTCCAGAATCTATGACTTACATTGTTTCTAGTTTTCTGAACTCTATCTATAGAAATTGATTTACTATTTTTCACAGCAGATGGCAGAAGCAGTCAGAGGAGCAGGAAGAACGGGATACAAGGAATTACGAGATCGATGAAAATGATCAAAGGGGAAGAGAAATAGACGATGATTATCAAAATAATAAAGAATTCGAGTCTCACGAGATGATGCAGCAAAAAGAGATTAACAGAGATGTTTCGCGAGGGGGCAGTAATTCTGGGGACAAATCTATGTTCTCGAGGAACAGCTCCCAGGGTGAAACTTCCTCGCAGACTGGATTGGAACTGGAGAAAATCACCGATTCTGCTCGTGTGTCTGAGGAGACCACAACAGGATTATGATTGTCTTTGATAGGTTTAGAACTGACGGTTCTAGAGCGATCTAGGGAATTATCGTCGAGAGATTGGTACACGTGTTAAATGTATAAGTACTTGCCATAAACTATGAATTCTAAACGAGGAATGCTTGCCTAATAATCTGTGACTGTTTTATAAATTGTTTTGAGAAATAAATTTTCGTAGAAAAAATTAACCGTTGTTTCGTTCTTTTTTTTAACCCGAGAGATGTAAAAAGATCGAAAAGAAATGAATATTGGAAAGAATAAAATGTATCGTATAGGTGTTTTATAAAAATAATAAAATTTTTTTCTTTGTTTTTTTCGCTGAAAATATTTTTTTTTTTTATAAAATTTCATCTAAAATATCCGTGAAAATAATTTTACGTGTATTTATACATATATATATATATATGTATATCAAGTAATGTGTTTATTGATGCGATATTTAAATATTTCATACGAAAAATGTGTGATCGTTGATACGATCGAATTAAAGTAAAAATGATAAAATGAAATTTATTCAATGATATGTAACACACGGATATTTATTTAATTATATTACAATATCAATATGAAGTTATGAATTCTCTAGATATATACAATATTATCTTTCAAATTAAATTAACATGTAATTACAGAACTTTATACACTCTTATATAGTGTTCAATGCTCTATAACAATTGCATTGAAATAATAATGTTATAAAATAGGATGTACGTCGTAATGGAAATTGATCTCAAGATATATTCGAAGATAAATTTCAAAAGGAAGAAAATAATAATGATTGCAAAAATATTCGAAAAGAGAAATATACATATATGTAGTAGGAATAAAAATGAGGGCGTAAAAAATGAGGAGTGTAAAATTTTTTACACTCGATGATTCGTATGACCCCGATTACAAGTTGGAGGTAATAACTTCTAGTGAAATTATTCCACAGAGGTGTCCTCTGATCAAAGAAGGGAAAGAGGGAATTGCGACGATTCTTGGGGGGAAAAAGAAATAACGAAAGCATTGTGTCAAGATTAAAAGCGCTCTTTAAACGCGAAAAAGAAAAATTTCGATCACGGCAGAAAAGAAAAGAATCGTGAGAAGAATTATAAAGCAGTCTAACCTTTGTTACCTTCCTGACTTCTTTCAACTTCTAAAGTTGAAAGAAAATGGCCGGGGCACGAGTTACTTTAAAGAAATTGTGCACTGCGAAAGTAAATTAGTAAAATTAGTTATATATATATATACATTGATACAAAATAAATTTCTCCTTTTTGAAGAATCTTAGAAAAAAGAATATTTTTATATGTGTATTTGATATAAAAATTACAACATTGTTGAGAATAATTGTAATTTGATACAAATTTTGAAATTAGAAGAATAATAAAAAATAGATAAAAATATCACGACCTGTAATTTGTGAATCACAAACGCAAATGCGTGCTGTTGGTAACGTATTCCAATACGATTTGGTAATCATGAAACGCATATCAGCGGAATAATATTATTGTTCAATATTTACGCAAGGAACGTCGTTAAATATTTTGGAAAAAATTATGCAATAGCATCAATAATAACGAAATTAAATTTTTTGCCACATAATTAATAAGTTTTTTATTTGTTCTTGCATAAAATTGTAATTAAATTAAAAAATTGGAATAAAATGATAATATAATAGGGCATGTAATAAATAAATAAATAAATCAAATATTTAATTAAAATTCATTCTTCTCGTTCAATTCTGCAGTAATCAAATTTAAAGTGAAAATGTTATAAAATATATAAAAATGTAGAATTATATAATTAAAAATATTTTTCTTCTTAAAATTCATTCTTCTGATTCTATTTTCCAATAATCAGATTTAAAATATGATCAATATCATATTTTAAAGCTGAAAAATATAGAATCGTATGATTAGAAATATTATTTACTTGATTAATACAAAACGTAATTCAATTCTCAAT